CCCAGAGAAAAACAAATGATTGTTTTTAAAATTCCTTTTTGTCTTTGAGTCTTTTTTTATTTCTGTACTAAACTCATTTCTTTTTAAGATTTTAAACACTTGAACACTCGAATGATTCTTTGAAGGAGGAAATTTTCCTTTTCTGCTTACAATTTTCTTACATTTTATGAGTTATCTTAAGTACATAATTATCCTTATTTATTTGACAGGAGAAAATGCTGCATGTACTTTTAACTGGGACTATTTTACAGTTTTTCAAAGTTTATAGTCATTTAAAAGAACTACACTACAACTTCAAGTTGCAGGAAGAAATAAAATAACCCAAGGCAGTAACAATGAAAAAAAAACACACCAAGCAAACAACAAAATAAACAAAAACCAAATTCCTCCCAAAACTTTGAAGTCAAAGCAACCATGTCAGGAAGTGTGATTTTTTCCCCTTTTTCTATACTTTATAGAAACCATAATTTCATTTCCAAATCGATTGATTCTTTAGAAAAGAAATAGAAAAAAACTCTTTCATGTATTTCCCTAGAACAGCTTTCCACTTTTTTGTCCTTTCTTTTGTAAAACAGGTTAAACTTTAAAAATAGAAAGTCATTGATGAATGTTAGATTTGAAATGCAATATATATTCTTTGGGATTTGTCCAAAGGAGGCAACATAAGAGGAAAAAGTTATATGCTCCTCAAAATCTATTTAGCATTAGTTACAATTTTGTAAATTTTTTTGATGTAACTTTATATAGGTAAAAATAACAATTAATGATTAACTTCCATCTACTGTGCTAAATGCTACATGTTCACTGGAAATGATAATTATGAAAATTTTGAGGCAGCATGAGAAAATGCTTATACTACAATAGCAAGTGAAAAATTAAAATATAAAAATAAGGTGACAAAATACAGAACTATTACAAATGAACAAATGCTGGAAACAATTTTGAAACAAAATTAATTTTGGATGACAGCGGTGTAATTGTTTTTTTTTTCACTTTATATTTCCAATGTTTAAAGGGTGGTTTAATTCTCTTAATTTTTTTCCCTCTCTGCATGAATATTTATGTTCACACTGGAGGAAAATGGATCAGAATCCCATCTTTAAAATGGAGTCAAGTTTCAGGGTTTTTGAATTCAGAGGAAAATTGAATGCTGTAAGTGGACCAAACATTTCCCCGGGGAAAATGGAAGAGAACAAATATAATAATCATAATTTTAACATTGATAAGAATGGCATTAAATTGTATAAATTATTATTCAATGAAATATTTTTTCTGCAGCTAACTCTCACAAATTAAACTCTGAACTGCATATTAATCTTGCCCAAAGAAGCTGTGTAGAAAAAAAGAAAATAAACACAATGTTTATTACTCATCTTTAATATTAAAATCAAGCCAAAGAAAAGGAGGATAAATTATGGAGTCCTAAGTCTGCCCATTTTTAATCCCTAATGTAGGAATGCAAGTTTGACAAGAAATAACCCTTCTCTCGGGTTAATTTTAGTGCTGGGCTCACTCGGAGGGAGAGATGAAGCACCAATCAACATCCCTCCATATCCCCAACCTCAGCCTAAAATAGCCAGGTCACTGAGGCAAAACTGATTTGGGGGCTAAAAGGTCTGCCTCTAACCCCAGCTGTCTCCTCTGTGCTTGCAGACTCTGGCTATCACAGAAGACCTTGGTGAAGGGGGTGGGGTGGGAGGATTAGAACTCAGTGAAACAGCTGATTAAAAAAAAAAAATCAGTTTCAATTTAGCAATGGCTGGTACAATTTGAAGAACTCGTATTTTCTCCTCTACTGTCATTTTAAAAGCCAATTTCAGCTAACATGTAGACTTCTAATATGTTTTTTCAAATGGAAAAAAACACACGTACACACACACACAACCACCTAAAAGTGAACGGAATTATCGCTTTAAAAAATGTTGGTTTTCTTTTAAGCTAGGATGGGAAAGGGTGGGCTGCATTTTACAGGCGCTTTGAGGTCCGGAGGGAGATTTTTGTGGGGTGTCGCTCGCTTTGGTTTTAGGAATCAAGAAGCTGAGCAGTGGCTACGTCCCCAGGGAGAAAACCTGAGAGGTGCGTCTGTGAATGCCTTTCCAGTTAAATGGAGGAAAACGGCACTTTCTGGGAAGCCGGACGCCCTGCCTAGTCCCCTCTTTCTTGCTCCCCAATAGGGCAGAAAAGTTGGGAAAAAGGGCTCCCCTTTAGGGAAAGGCCAAGGAACACCACAGCCTTTGAGACTTTTAGCCCTTTCAAAAGCACACACACCACACCACCCCGAGGACGTCTCCGGGCCAGGACCATCGGTTTTCTTCCGGACGCTTTATCCTTTGGCTTCTCTTTGCTCTGCAGTTTGTATTAATTTGTTTTTCATTAAAATTGTTTATTGAATACCTACTATGTGGCAGGCACCGATTCCAGTTTTTTTTTTTTTTTAATTACGTTTATGGCCACGGGTTCAACAGACCCGGGGGGAAGGGCGGGGGTGGGAGACACATGTCGCCCAGCTCCTTGGACAGAAGTCTCTCTCCCCTCGGCGGCTGATGGCTTGTAGCATTTTCATTTCTGTTGCCCCATGGAGAGAAAAAAAAAAAAAATCGCAGCGACAAACACGTGGCTGGCTGGAACAAAACGCGAATTTGGGCGGTGGGTTTGAAGGTGGAGTTGGGAGCCCTCCCCGCCCCCACGCCGAGCCCCGTTTATTTTCGGGGAAACCCGGGGGGTTCGGGGGCCCGGGGCGCGGCGTGTCTCGCACTCCCGGCTGCTGGGAGGTGCGGGGCCGCCGGCGGAGGGGTCGGAGCAGAAGTCGGAGCAGCCCGCGGACTCTGCGAACAAAAAATGAGAGGAACCCCCAGGCGTGCCCATCGGGGCCGCCGACACGTGTTGCGGAGCCGGCCTGGCCGCGGGCGACGGAGACAATGGGGTCGCGGACCGGGAAGGGGAGCCGGACCCCCTTCCTCACCTGCCCTCGCCCGCACGCGGGCCCGACAGGAGGGCCGGCCCCTCCCGCAGCACCGCGCTCCCGCCCGCCCAGCGGGTGCGGGCCCTGCGGGCGCCCTCCCCGTCCCCCGTCCGGGGCCCCCGGCCCCCCACCCCGAGCAGCGCTCCCCGCCCCCCCAACCCCCGCCGCCGCCGGGAACCCGCCGGCCGGGCTGCCGCTCCCGGGGCCCCGGCGGCGCGGCCCCCGCGCCCCGCTCCCGTCCCCGGGTCCCCTTCCCCCGCTCCCGCCGCGCCCCCCGGGCTCCGGGACCCCCCCCCCCCGCGCCGGCCAGGCGCCCGCCCACGTGTCCCCCCGCCCGCCGGCCCAGCCCTCGGACTCGGGCGGAGGATCCGGAACAGAGTTGGTCAAAGGCGAGGGAAGGGGCCGGGGCGGATCCGCTTCCCCCCCAGGAGCCGGCCGCCCCCTCCCCAGCCCCCGCCCGCTTCCCCGCCGCCGAGCGGAAACCGCCCTCCCCCCGCGGTGACCTGGGGACGGGGCGGGGCCTGGGCTCGGCCCCTCTCCCGCCTTCCCGCCCGAGCCCCCCGCACCCCGAACAAAGTTCCCGGGCCCCCAACTCCGCGCGGGGAGCCGCGGAGGGGACTCCACCTGTCGGTCCCCGGGAGGAGGGGGGCATTCGGATCCGCGCCCCGCCACTCCCTCCAGGGCCTCCCCCTGCGGCCCGGCCTCCTCCCCCCCCTCCCTCCGGGGTCATCTTGGGCCGGAGCCGCGCGCTCTCCCAGGACCCCCAGACCTGCCGCTCAGCAGCCGAACCCCGGGAGCCAGCCCCCCTCGTCCCGTGGGAATCCGAGACCCGATTTCCTGAGGATCCCCCACTCCCAGCCGCACCCCCCGGCTCCCCGGTCCCCCCGCTCCCAGCCTCCCCGGTCCCCCCGCTCCCAGCCTCCCGGTCCCCCCGCTCCCAGCCTCCCGGTCCCCCCGCTCCCAGCCCCCCGGTCCCCCCCCGCTCCCAGCCTCCCCGGTCCCCCCGCTCCCAGCCTCCCGGTCCCCCCGCTCCCAGCCGCACCCCCCGGCTCCCCTGTCCCCCTGCTCCCAGCCTCCCGGTTCCCCTCTCCCCCCCCCGCTCCCAGCCTCCCGGTCCCCCCTCCCCGCTCCCAGCCGCATCCCCCGGCTCCCCGGCTCCCCGGTCCCCCCGCTCCCAGCCTCCCGGTCCCCCGCTCCCCGGTCCCGGGTCCCCGGAGGCGAAGGCGTCGCCGCGGACGCGGGCCCGGAGGCCGGGGACCCCCTCCCACGTAGAAGCCCCGGGAAAGGCGCCTTTCTTTCCTGAATCCCCGGCTCGCCGACCCCCTCCCCGAGACCCCCGAGTCCTCCGCTCCTTTGTCTCCGGTCCCCCGCCTGTCAGTCGGGAGCAGCTAACCTGGGGAGGGTGGGCAGACTCCCCCCAACCCAACCCCAACCCCCACGAATAAAAAAAATAAACGTGTGTTTTACATAGAAAGAGGAGGGACCTCCGGGCCGACCACCTCCCCCGCCGCCCGGGAGGGGGAGGGGAGGGGAGGGGGGAGGGGCGGCGCCCTCGGGGCCGGATTCTTGCGGAGGAGGAGGAGGAGGAGGAGGAGGAGGGGTCCGGGGCTCCGGGAGGGAGGCCCCCCGCCCGGGATCGGGGTGAGCGGGGCCCCCTCCCTGCGCCGCGGTCTCCCCGGGCGGGAGCGGGGGCCGGCCGGCGGCGGGGGAAGGAAGGGCCGGGCGGCGTCGGGGGTCCCCCCTGCGGGCGGTGGGTGGGGGCTCTCACCACGTGGCTTCGCCTCTTTTTTTCCCTCCTCGCTCCATTTTTTTTTTTTTCCTGGTCGATTTTATTTAGAGGCGGCGCCAGGGCGGCCGCGGAGCAACGTGACACACCAGCCCGCGCGGAGGGACCCGGCCCGGAGGGAAGAGCCGCGTCGTCCGCCCCAGCGCCGCGGCCCGTCCCCGCACCCCGGACCCCGGACCCGCACCCCGGACCCGGACCCGGACCCGGACCCGGACCCGGACCCGGACCCAGACCCGCGCCCGCACCCGCCCCGGACAGGCCTCGGGGCCGGTGCCCGGAAAGTTTGCGGCCGCCGCCTCGGCCTAGAGGCCCCCGCCCGCCGCCGGCCCGCAGGGAGGCGCCGCCATGAACAAGCTCTACATCGGGAACCTCCACGAGGGCGTGACGCCCGCCGACCTGGAGAAGGTGTTCGCGGAGCACAAGATCTCCCACAGCGGCCCGTTCCTCGTCAAGTCCGGCTACGCCTTCGTGGACTGCCCCGACGAGCACTGGGCCATGAAGGCCATCGAAACTTTCTCCGGTGAGCGCCCGGCCCGGCCCGGCCCGGAGCCCGAGCCACGGCCCCGGCCCCACTCCCCCTCCCGGCCCCCCACCCCGCGGCCCCCGGCCCCCGACCCCACTCCGCCCTCCCCGCGACCCGGACCCCCACCCCGCCCTCCCCGCGGCCTGCGCTCCGGGCCTCGGCACCCACCCTCCACCCTCGACGCCCCTCCGTGTCCACCCCCACCCCCGTCTCCACCCGGGGTTTCCTCCCCCCTCCAGCCCCGGGAGGGCTGGGGAAGGGGTCCCCATACCCCCGCGGACGGCAGCAGTGGGGGCGCCCCGAGGCCCCGGCCTGGGCGCGGTTTCCCCGCCGGCCCCTCCCTGCCCGCCCGGCGCCCGCTCCCCTCCCGCCCAGGCCTGTCCTGGCGGGCACGGGGCCCCCTCCGGGCTCCATTCCCCGGCCCTGGAGCCCTGGAGCCCTGGAACCTTGGAGCGGCGTCCGAGGGCGGGATCCCGGGCCGGGGCCGGGGCCGGGGCGCGGGCCATCTTGGTCCGCACGCGGGGCGCGGCGGCGGGGCGCCATGCTGCCTCCCGGGACGCGCGGCCCGGCCGCCCGGCCCCTCCCCGAGGGCCCCCCCCCCCTCGGCTCGACAGGTGACCGTCCCGCCGCCCATGCCCTCCTCCTGGCCTCGACGGGGAATGAAGTTTAGTTCCGCACCCCCCTCCCCAAAGCGCGCGTCCCCTCCGGGCCCTTCTGCCCAGTCCCTCGCAGGCGGCCCGCCCCCCCAAACCCGAGCTCCCAGGCCCCCGGGCCTCGGGGAAGAACAGCACAAAACAAAATTAAGAAAGCGATCGCGGAGTGTGCAGACGCCTCCATGCCCGGGCCCCCCAGTCGCAGCCGGCTCCGAACCCGCCGCCTGGGCTCCTGGGAAGGTCTCCCGTCCCAAAACGCATGAGTTCCCCTGGTGTTCCCCCCCACCCCCCCTTTCCCCTCAAGCTCTTATTGTATATTTATTTTTTAAAATTTTTAGGGAAAGTGGAACTGCAAGGAAAACGCCTGGAGATTGAACACTCGGTCCCCAAAAAACAAAGGTAGGAACGCGCTCCTCTCCGGGGGGAGGGGGGGCGGCCTGGGGGCGCGGGGGAGCCGTGTGCAGGGGGGTCCGCGGCGGCTCCATGGAAGAAACCCATTACTGGCCTTTCCACCCCCAACTCCGGATGTGGGGGGCAGGGAGCGAAGATTGGCTGAGATCTTGTAATGGGCGGTTTACAGCTTGTAAAAGAAAAAGGCTGGGGCCGGGTGGGCCCGGAGATGTGTCTTGGAGAAGTGGGGGGGGGGGGGGACCCGATGGGGGAGAGACCTTGAGTTTGTTCCAGGTGTGCGAGGCCGTTTTTGTGGGGAAGCTGAAAACCTTGAGGAGTGTAGACGCGTGGGCATTTCTGCAGCTTCCTAGCAGGCCTCACCCCCCCCCCGCCCCCCGCACCTTAATTCTTAAGGGGCTTGCGGGGGGTGGGGCAGGTCCCCTTGGATTCCCTAGGGGGAGTGGAAGGAGCCCCCCCCCATATTTTTTTAGCGCTATATTTATATTTCTGCAACAGGCAAGGACCCTCGGTTTTTCCCCAGACCTCCTGTCTTAGTCCCTCCCACCTCCCATCTCAAGTGGATTTTGCGAAGAATATACTCTTGGCCGAACAATCCTTTCGGAGCGCGGACCCCCCCCCCCCCCCAGCCCATTGTTATCAGGGGGACCATCTGGGGTGAGAGCTTTGTGTTCAGGCTGTGAGCTGGGGCTCTTTGGAGAGCCTAGAACTCCCTGGATGAATGGAGTGAGTGAGTGTGTGTGTGTGTGTGTGTGTGTGTGTGTGTGTCCGTGTGTCCGTCCGTCCGTCCGTCCCGGGACCATTCTGTCCTCACTGCAGCAGCGTGGGTTACCCGCCCCCCCCCCCCCCCCAAATCTGATTCACGGTGGATTTCAAATTTTTCGTTGAACTCTGGCCGGGAAGTGTAAGGGCAGAGTCTTGCTGCTTTCTGAAATCGGACTGGAAACATGTTGACAGTGCACTTCTGACACGTTGGGGAGCCCTCAGCAAACCTCTGATTCTTCCCCTGCTCCTCTCGTCTCGTTTCCACGGAGAACTCGCTGCATTTCAGAACAGTCCCTGGCCTGCCTCTTCTGGGTGGGACGGTGGAGGTGTGGGTGGCTGTGCTTTCCTGGAGGAGGTTAAGAGGATCTGGAAAGTCTCAACACCAGGGGCAGGCTGCTCCGTGATTTAGCTGGGGATGTTGAAGTAACTTGGAACCATTGTATCTATGCAGGATCAGTAGGCTTGTAACTATGTTTACGGAGTTTGTGATTTAACCTCCCTCCAGTGCTGGGAATACTCTGTTGTGGGAAAGGCAACCAGAGTTAGCCTAGAGAGGCCATCACATGGGGAGGACGGAAGAAAAAAGTCTTAATCCTTTTTTGAAACATTTCTGGGCGATGGGAATAATAGGAAAACCATACACTGACACCAGTAGATTTAGTGAGAAGATTGTGGGCATTGGAATCAAAAGCTGAATGTTTAAAGCACGTTAATGAAAAATTTCCAGAACAACGGGAATGCCAAAATATGGGGGAATTTTTTTCTTCTGCTCTTCAGTATGGCTTACATTTTAAAGGGAATGAATTGAAAAGCAAGAGAAATAGCAAAATGTGATGAAATGGAACCCAAAACATTTATATTTTAATTTTCATGGTGCTCTGTATTTATGGATCTTTTTTCCCTAAGCCATCTGCTTGCTTTCAAGCCATTTTTAGGCCCCTTGTTCCCTCCAAAATGCACTGCTGAGGGCTCTTTTGAGTTGGGAGGGGGTGGGGTTTTTGAGGAGAGTGGGTACGAAATCTGCCTTTCCCCATCCAAGTTAAATTTGGTCTTTTGTGTGTTCTCTTCCTGAAATAATTGGTGAGCACAGACATGGAGTCGGTTGTGTGTTATTTTACTTTTTTTTTTCTCGAGTGGTGATGAGAAGGCACTTAATTTTTCTAGAATGAATCCATTTGTGAAGTTTTAGGATTTAAAAGAGGAGAGTTTGTTTTCATGAAGTCAGAATGCTCTATCATTTTGTGTTCTTTGGGGAAGCATGTTGTGGTATGTGTTTTAGTCTGAAAAGCATTTTTTCAGTTGGATGGTTAACTGGCTTTTTTGCTCATGGATGTATCTAAAAGGAGCTACTTAATTCACTGACTAATATTTTAAGCAAAATGAACAACTGTGCATATACGTGTGTATATTTACTCTAGGGTTTTTGCTGTTTAAAATAGAAGATGATAATTCTTGATGTGCTCAGTTCCCAATGAATTAATTATGACTTTAAACATTCCTAAGGTTTTCATAAAAACCTAGCAAACTGTAAATGGTCCTGGTTTTTGCTGTTGTTGTTTTTTTTTTTTTTTTTTTTGAGGGGGAAGTCGAGCAAGATGATATTATTATAGCAGTTACCTCTGAACAGCCCTGATTTTGAAGTATTAACATATTTTATTCTAATTTTGTCTGGTAAATATAATTTGTATATTTTTTAAGAACCCCAGAGACTGAACATTATACATTTAAACTGAAAACATGTAAGTTGACATTTTTACATGGGTGACCAATGTCTCTGAGATACGGTAGGTTTGTTGGAGATTATGGACATTTGAACTGAAAAGCTGAATGCTGGAAACACACCTCTTAGTGTTGGAATTTTGGCCAACAGCTTCGGCTTTTTGTTGAGAATGTATATATTCACTTTCAGATGTTAGGACAAAGGAGTAAAACCAAAAAGCATTTTAAAAACAGCTGCAGGGGGAGGGTTTGTGTATGTGTTTTATTTTGAGACCCAAGAGTAGGTAAGGTAAAGGGGTACATCTTAGTGAGACTTGTTTATTTTGGGAAGTGGCTTGATTTTAAGGGAATTAAACTGTTTCACTTGCCACTGTGTGAGCTTTAGGGGAATGTGGCCTAAACATGGCTTACCTACTGCCAGCTGGTGGCATCCAAATGAAAGGTGTTGCAGTTAAAAGTGAGAGGTGTACTGTATTTTTCTCAGCGAATCATGTTTTAGGTCAAGACTTGATCTCCTTAGGCAGGTAAATGGTGGCTCTTTTAAGTTGTCTTAAAATGAGGTGGCTCTTTAAGTTGCCTTAAAATTTCCCTTAAATTTCCAACTATTAAAAAATATATATACACAGGGATTGGCCTTGTAAGTGTGAGAACTCTTAGAAGAGAAAGTGTTCAAATTTAATTCTGATTTTACAGTTTAATCTTCTCAAGTCAGCAGCTTTAAAAATCCCTGCAAAAGGATGTCCTATAAGTGGCAAAAATGTTATTTTTAATCTTAAGTGGTTTGTGAAGCCTCTGAAGAAATAATTGGGTCCCTAAATGTTTTCAAAGCAGGCAAAAGTTTTCGCCTTCAGGAATGGGCATGCCTTTCGAGAAGATTGTTCTGAGGGGCTGGAAATGAATTATAAAGGGGGTTAAGAAACAGTGTCTTTTAAAAAAGCCAAAAAAAAAAGGGGGGGGGTTTAAAAAGTGCTGGAGTATGAGGATTTTCGGGCTCTTTCGCTGTAGCGGTTGTAGTTGTCAATGTATCTTTCAGCAAATATGTATTCAAGAAGGATGTGTAAAGTAGAGACAGTTCCTGCCGCTTTCAGTAAAGAGGTTTTCTTGTGAATGTTACATTTGGGGGAGCTGTAAATAAGTTTTAAAATGGTTGATTTAAAAAAAAAATTTTTTTTCTGCATTATTTGGAGGAAAGGTGGAAAAGTTTACCCTCCCCATTTTTATTTCCACCTAGAAAGTGAACTTAACAAATTCATAAAAATTAAATCTCCTTCCCTGCTGGAGAAATCAAATCCTTAACTTGTTATTTAAGTTCTCAGTATTTCAAGATGACTCTCCTAAGGGCTGCGGTATTTGACAATCCTTTGAAAGAGTTATATGTTCTCAGAACCCTTCATTTTCCTAATTCAAAGGAGAAAGATGAAGTTTTATTCCAGTGGTTTCCCATCTGGAGAACTTTTGAGTAAAAGGAGGGGAAGGATTGTAATTCCCGTCACTAATTTATCCAAAGTATAGTTAGCTCGCCCAAACGTATAAGTTTTAATGGCACAGCTTTTGGTGGAAAAAAAAGAGCAAAACATTCTCATAATTATGTTTGAGAGATGAAACACATGACATTAGCCATTGGGAGAATTTTGATTCAGAGGTCTGAGCCTCTAATCTTTTAGAATTACCTTAATATATGTCATTTGAATCTGTTTTATGTGTCTGGGTACTTTTAAGGCTTGTTTTTGAATTCATTTATTCTAGACTCGAACGTGTAATAGCTAGTGGACAAAGACCGGCTAGGGAGTATACAATTTTGAAACGTTGAAGAAGAAAAAAAAATTCCAGATCCGTTTAGTTGAGGTAAAAGGAGGGAGGGCCAGCGAGTGTTATTGGTTGGAGTTTAGGCGTTTGTGTTGAAGACATGCATGTATTGGTTATACCTCCGTTAACTTTTGTGTGTGGGGCCGGCAGTGGTGATGTTGTCCTTAGAATAAATGTATGAACCAAAGGCATTTGAAAAACACGCATTTTGCCGGCTTTTAGAATTTACATTTAGTCCTGTTCTCCCTCCATCCTCTGCAAGGATTCTTAAATGCGGCTAATGCCTTCCAGAAAGTGCAGCTTAGACCTGGGATGGGGTGGGGGGGGGGGGGGCAGCGGGGGGACTGGGAGCCGGAGGAGCTGGTCCCGGGCTGGGAATTCCGACGGGAAGGGGCTCAGGGTTCCCGCTTCCCTTTGAAAGGAGCGGCGGCTGCCGGAGGGGTCGCGGGCGCCAGGGTTAGCCGCGCCGCGCGGGAGAAGCAGCCCAGGGCGAGGCTGTTTTTTGCTTTCGGACTTTGCCTGCCTTCCCTTCCCCTTTTCAAAAGGCACGGAAAGCCGCGGCGCCTCTTCCTGCAGAGCCCGCGCCAGCCGGGCCGCCCCAACGCCTCTCCGCCCGCCCAGCCCCCAGCCCTCCGAGCCCCCAGCCCAGCCCCCTCCCCGCCCCCAGCCCAACCCCCTCCCCGCCCCCACCCCAACCCCCT